TTTTTATAAAAATTCGAAGCAACGCATCCTTAATCAAAATTTAAAGCGGGATTTGAAGTGAAAACCGAGCGCTGCCTAAGAGAACCGAATTCCGTAATTACAACAGGTGGGTCGGTTTGTTTGACAGCGCTCGGTAATTCTTGAGTAAACCAGTTTTCGGTTATTTCTGCTTAAATTTATTTTTCATCAACCGAGATTTTCGGTAACTTTGACAGATTGTGGGTAACAATAAGAACTAACGACAGCTCGCTTATTCCTCTTTGAACCGAACAGACTACCGAGCGTTCAGCAGATAAAAACTCGGTTGAAATCAAACCGAGTTCGGTAATATTTTCTAAGCGTGTAGAGTTGATAGTTCCGTTAGAGTATACACTGAAACAAATCGACATGTACCGTTTATTGGATCCATCTTATAACATAGCAATGTCAGCAGATTTATTCATTCTATGTGATGATTGATAGATTCCATTGGATTATCACTTAAAAACTATGACTGCGATATGGAATGATTTCTATCGTAATTTCACATACTTAGTACTTGATAATACTTTGCTTCGAACGTGGTTAGCGAAGGTAAGAAGTATATGAATATTGTCTGATATATTTCATGGTGAAAAACTGTTGATATGTCATGGGTGGGAACAGACATCTAGAAACTAATGGAAAATCATATAAGTTTGCACTACGAGAAAATTCAGTAAAATATACCTGTTTTCATGATGAATATTGCTCACTAAAATATATATCTTATAAGATAATCATGTATATTTTATTGGAGTTGCTTTTACTGATTTTTGACGTTTGTTGATATGTCGCGTGTAAATAGACATGTAGAAACTATTGGACTGTCATTTAACTTTGCAGTATAGGAAAACATGTATATCTCATTGTAATAGCTTGCTTTGATTTTTGACATTTAAAGATTGTAAACAGATCTATCCCAATCTTAAATAGTCATATAGAAATGCCTTTTAAGAAATCCAACAGCAAGCATTTGTTTTTGCATGTTTTTCTGGGATGAATATCGCTCCCAATAAAATACATCTTACATGATTGTTCTTTATAAATTATTGAAACAATTTTCAACGATGTTAACGTACACTCATTAAAATGATTAGTTGAACTAAATACTACTAACAACAATGATACTGTATTGAATAATCTTTGTTTGTTATTGTTTCATATGATAATTGGTTCCAGAAAAGAATGTATTGAGATTGAAAAAAAAAATGATTCTACTGTAATATTTACTTTGCTATAATTCTAATTGTAAGCCTTCTACACGGCTAATTCAGATTCCAGCCTTAAGTAGTATTCGAACTTCATGAGCCAGTTCTATCAAATCATATAATTTAGTCGTTGATTTATTGCACACAGGTGCATTAAGAAAGATTTGAACAAACCACACCACCGAAACGGAACATAAATTTGTCAGTGCTATTTGTCTTCACTCTAGCAAAACGAGCATAAAGTTGCACTACATTCCATGTCGGGAGAGCTGTTCTTACTTCATGCTATTTGAACGAGCTCAATCTTGAAGTCAGCCGTGGCCCAGTGGAATCGAGCACAGACACCGAAAGCATCACACCTCAACAGATCTTGATCGAATCCCAAATCAGCTACAATAAAAAAGGCACAACTGTGAAAGCTTCCACTGCCTGATGTTTATTTTTCGAATTTATTTTTAGAAATCGATTAAATATATATGTCAAAAGAAGAAGTAAATTTCATGTTATTTTCACATAAACTTTACTTCGATTGATTTATGACACATATATTATATTGTGGTGAAAAGTATAGCTTATGCTTATGGGTTTCAAATCCATTTCAGTTAATTATTATAATTTGATCGATTTTCATTTATCATATGACGATCATATAAAAGTTACCAAATTATCAGCATTGTAAATGTATCAGATATTCATATAGAATATACCTGACACATTTTCAATCATATCATTTTCAATGGATTATCTTATAGCGCAAATTTATTAGACTTCCACATAACAGGAATATGTCAAATTCGTTCAGTGTACGGCAGTGTGAAAATTGCATATAGATAGTAGAATCATAGAGGTAACTCTAAGATTAGAAGCATAGAGGTAACTCTAAGACCACTGGGTCCCGAAGAAAATCATTATTATTTTTGGCTCACTCAGTACCAGAACAACGGTCCCAAGCAGTCCCAAGCTATTTCACTCACCCCTGCATGAATCCACACACCCCTGATGTTATCTGTCAAACTTTCATAGCGAATCAAAACAAACATAGTGTAGTAATAGAGTTTCAACTAGAATAGGGTACGTTAATCGTTTGCTTGGGACCAATAGGCTACTAAAGTGGTGAGCCAATTTAAAATCGTTAGTTTCGTATTGATTGTTGCTAGAAGGTCCCGCAATAACGTGCTCAACTTCACCCCTCAAAACATAGGAAAAACCTTTAACCCCTCATTTTATCTGTCAAACTTTCATACCGAATCAAAACAAACATTGCGTAGTACTGGAATTTATACTAGAATGGGGTTACACAACGTACCCCATTCTAGTGGACATTCTACTACTACACAATGTTTGTTTTGATCCGCTATGAAAGTTTGACAGATAAAATGAGGGGTTAGTGGATTTTCCTATGTTTCGAGGGGTGAATCGATTAGCTTGGGACCGAAGAGGGTACCAGAGCTGAGCCAAAAAGTTGAGCACGTTATTTCGGGACCTTCTAGTCTTAGAGTTAGCTCTATGATATTACCATAGAGGTAACTCTAAGACCACTGGGTCCCGAAGAAAATCATTATTATTTTTGGCTCACTCAGTACCAGAACAACGGTCCCAAGCAGTCCCAAGCTATTTCACTCACCCCTGCATGTTCTGCATGAATCCACACACCCCTGATGTTATCTGTCAAACTTTCATAGCGAATCAAAACAAACATAGTGTAGTAATAGAATTTCAACTAGAATAGGGTACGTTAATCGTTTGCTTGGGACCAATAGGCTACTAAAGTGGTGAGCCAATTTAAAATCGTTAGTTTCGTATTGATTGTTGCTAGAAGGTCCCGAAAAAAGGCGCTCAACTTTTTGGCTCAGCTCTGGTACTCTCTTCGGTCCCAAGCTAATCGATTCACCCCTCGAAACATAGGAAAAACCAATAACCCATCATTTTATCTGCCAAACTTTCATAGCGAATCAAAACAAACATTGCGTAGTACTAGAATTTCGACTAGTCAAGTAGTGAGCCAATTTAAATTCGGTAGTTTCGTATTGATTGTTAATATTACTCTATTAAAGTTCTTATGAAAAATAAATTGACTCTTCTCAGAGACGCTAAAACACTTGGATTTTTTACGAATGCAATTTCTCTTTATGTTGATGTCAGCCTTGAATGTTGATTGTCTGCATTCAATTCAGGTGAAATCTGTTTCGTAAGGTTTAGCAGAAAAGGTACGAAGATTATGGGATTTGATGATAGTGATCCAGTATTATCCGTCGATGGATGATGGTGGGTTGTAAACTTCTGGAATGCTTGCTTCGTCAAATATCTAGCCTTGACATATAGACGAGTGCACGGATGGATTTGAGTTCACTCACTCGACAAAAAGTGACACAACAGCGGGGCCCTGTTTACTAAAAATGAACACATATGTGTTCATTTTTAGTAAACAGGGCCCCGCTGTTGTGTCACTTTTTGTCGAGTGAGTGAACTCAAATCCATCCGTGCACTCGTCTATGGGAAATAAACACGCACAAAAACAGGCTGCTGTGTTACCGTGCATTCAATAATGAGCAACTCGAGTTACTCAGAGTTACTACAAATAAACTCCAATATTACTCATGATTAAAAGCTGACTTGCCCCTAGTCCTGTGCAGTTGGACATATTATCACAATTTTCAGAATGTTATTTGCAAACGAATTTTACTCTGATGAACGCAAATGCAACGAATGTTTTGTACCATAACGCTCGAATGACAGTTAAAAACTGGTAATCATGGGTTGCTTTGGCATGTCAAAAACTAACAAACAATGGTGGGTGGTTAGAATGCTGTTAATAAAACATTGGTCAGCTCACATGGATACCACGGGATACAAATGACTATACTAGATGAAATGATAGTATTTTCACTATAGTTTCATTATATTGATGAGTCGTCTGCCCCTTTTTGCCTCTTTGAAGTTTGTGGATGCTTGAAATTTGGCTATTTTTGAGCTGATATTGCCTATAACATTTTCTGTTTTGCAGATAGAACCTTTTTGTCTTCAGTAAAGTTGTGTATTTATAGTACATTAGTACATTATAGTCATCTAAAACAAATGATTTCGGAAATATTTACAAAAAACGGATTTGTGAGGCTCTTCTGTAAAAAAAAGCTTCATAACTCAAAATCGCAAGCAGATAGAGACATGGCGTCTTCTACTAAGTTTTTAGTTATGAAGCAACCTACAACTTAGCTTAAGTCTTCATATCTCTATCTAGACAAACTAAAAATTTAGATTCTGCAGCGGCACCAGCGGTGAAATTCCGAACTAAAACTTAACTTCATTCAATGGGTCTTGTCTTGTCATTTATAAAAACTCTTCTGAAGACACCCTATTGAAAAAACCTCTGTGAAAGATGCTAATGCAAAAAGTTCATGGATTTGGCCTTTTGCACCACTGTGGCCCGGTGTAAAAACCTAAAAAAGTACGGTTCAAGTGGACGGACCGTGCTGATGAGTGTCGCGCGTGAAGGTGGTGAACTTTGGTGTGTCAGCGGAACGGAGATTCACCTCACCCAACGTAAAATTTAACCCGTTAGATGGAATTCGCATACTCCCAATTGTAGGAAAACCCTGACTTCAAATCGCGACGATAAACAAAACAAGACGGCCAAAACACGATCCCGGAAGCTGTACACGACGATGCTGACGAAGTTCGATTCACGTATTCTTCCCTTCCCTCCACTAACTGCTTTCGGAAACTAGAATATATGACACGAAATCTATAATCCAACTTTGATATTTCTTTATTTGCGAATAGAACTAGTTGCAAACGGATGATTGATACAAATTTGTTAAAACTACTACAATAGAAATAAAATACGAATAATTTGAGTTAGCGAAATTTACTATCATACTATTAAATATGTAGAGAATTTTCTCACAGCCGGAGAGGCCATGGATAACATGTGCAACAGTACCACACTCGATAAATTGCAATTATGCTTGTATCATATAGTCAACAATGTGTACGGTGTGACGAGAACTAACTGTTTCAAATCACCTCCAAGATTTTCAGGCGTCCTACTTCTCTTAGGTGCTAATCAGTCTTGTGTTGGTCTTAGATTTATTATCGATTTAATGGTGCGATGAAGAAAAATGCTTCTCTGAGGCTTCGTGGTATAAAGTTCATACAATCATCTCTAGTAACCCGCTGCGATCGAGGTATTGGCTTTGCTTGGTGCTGTTTTTTTTCTACCTAGGCTGATTGACTATTGTTAAGAGTTGTCTTATTGCATTACAAAGGTACCTAATTGGAAGATACGCATGAGAGCTATCTTTGCATTGCTACGTTTGCTGTAGCCGACTAGTTAGTTAAATCTTTTGCTAATTATGCTATGTATAATTTATTGTTTCGAATAGATATTTATAATCTCGGTTTCATCAGATCATTTCCGTTGTTGTAGTTGTTGTTGTTGTTGCTACAATTAAAACTAATGCAATCAAGATGAAATGTCTTTTAGTTAGAATATTAAGTTTTGATGATAGATTTTTGTGTATGCAAATGTGTCTACAATAATGTATGCTCTATTTGGCTTCAGTTTCAAACTGCATTTGTCTATGGAAAACTGTTAATTTGCTATTTTGGCATGCAGAGTTTGGAAAACCGCATCATCAGACAGTTGCATTGTTGCATTTTTTGATCTAGAGGTAAGAAATACTTTGAGTGATCCGTACTGTCTGCTGTCGCACGGTTTTCCAATCCTCTTGGACGGCATGATATTTGTACTGCAGTATTCGATTTGTGTTTTATACAGAGTTCACTTAGTTTAAAAATTATTCAATAATTTTCGGCAAAATTCAATGATCTGTTCGATAAAAGTCGATTAGTTTTTTTTTCTAATACAAAAGTTAATAAAGTTCTTTCCACTTCGCTTACCGAATGAAAATAACATTACTTTGATTCAGACTCCTGTGGAGTCTCCTTTGGTTTGACGACAGGTGGCATCCCGGCAGTGCTTTCCGCTATTTCCATATGCTATAACACACTAGTACTAGTGCTTCGGTTGCCGATGGTGACGGATCCGTTGGTGTGAGTTATCAGTACAGGAGCCTTGTTCCGTCCGAGACCGAACATGGGCACATAGCGTAGAAGATTGTTGCTGCTTCGGGATATGTCCGGTTCACGTTGTAGCAGCGGTTCAATGGGATTGTAGACATTCAGGGTTATGCCCCCGTTGGTGATGCCTGAGGTTTCACCATTTGGCAGTGTATTACTTCGAAAATCAGTATCGACGTTGAGGTCGTTTAGGTTAATTCCACGTCGCATGTTCATTTTGGTGTATCCGGTAGTCGTTTGATTGAGGTCATTCATTTGGGAGGTGCCCATCAGCAGGTCCGCAGTTGGTTCATCTTTTCGTTTTCGTAATCCTGGTAGCAGTTCAAATTGATCACTGTCAGTTTCGGCCATCTGAACCGAAGCCAGCGGGACATCCAAGCAAGGGCTCAAAAGTCTCGGGTAGTTCGAGATAAATTCCGACACTTCTGATGCCATGGGTCGTTTCTTGTAATCTTGATTCCAACATGCTTTCATAAGTCCTTCCAACTGCGGTTTGACACCTGTCGGAATCGTTAAACAATTTCCGTCCTTTACATGATCGAGAACCTGGTTGTTGGTCATTCCTTGGTACGGGAATGATCCAAATGTGATTATTTCATACAGCAATACTCCATAGGACCAAACATCCGATGCTGGAGTGAATATTCCCAGTGCCAGCGATTCAGGAGACATCCACCGAACTGGGAGCATACCTTTCCGATTGAAGCGGTAGTAATCGTTTTCAAAAGTTGGACGTGCCATACCGAAATCGCCCAGTTTGACTACCCTTTGAGCGTTTACCATACAATTGCGACAGGCCAGGTCCCGATGTACGTATTTTTGTTCAGCAAGATACGACAGAGCTCGTGAGACATCCAGGGCCATCATGGTTAACCGTTTGGGAGATACATCCGAGTCCTCCGAAGGCTTATTATTCACCAAATGACGACGGGCAAGCAGATACGTTTTCAGATCACCGTACAGCATGAATTCCATGATCGTATACACTGGCTCCGTCTGCAGGCAGACTCCCAACAGCTTCACGATGTTGTTATGATCGAATCGTTTCATGGCTTCCGCTTCCGAAAGGAAATCTACCTTGTCTTCCGTAGTTGATCCAATCTTCAGCGTCTTAACAGCCACAGCGGTCCAACCTTCGTCTCCGATCTGTGCCTCACCACCATAGACAGTTCCGAATGCTCCTTCGCCTAGCCTTCGGTTGATCACCACCCGATCCTTCGCTACCTCCCACTTGTCCAACGTATTCACCGGAATCGACGATGGCGACAGCAAATCGATTCCGAACTTTTGCAAATATTTCGCCGAATGTTTCATCTTCCGATCATATCGAACTTGGAAATAGCAGAACGAAGCCAGCGAAATGATTGCAATCGTAACTACGCACATGCACCCGATGAAGACGTACACTGCACCGTCACAATCCATTCCGAAAAACCTTGCCAGCCCACTCAGAGTACAATCCAGTGCTCCATCTTCCGGAATTTTACCATCCCTGGTCATCCAAACGATTGCCGACTGGTTCAAAGAGAGCGTCCCTCCGACCAGCTGGTACTCACTTTCGGAAATGTTCGGAGTAAACTGCCCCACCATGTTCGGCGTCCCGTTGATCCACTGAAGCACATTGATGATGGTGTATCTTGATCCTTCATCGCCGAACCTAATTCTCCCGGATACCCCTTGGAAGTCCGTTGCTCGTATTACCTCCATCAACCGCTTCGTAGTTTTAATCGAATGTAGATCACTCAGATAGGAAGGATCCTCTCGAATCAACCGGTTCAATGCCAGTGCGTAAACCCAAACGGCATCGTAAGCATACCCGGCGTAATCCGATTCGATCAGATCATGCTGGCGGAGAGTTTCCCGGTACTGCGACATCCACTTGCCAACGGTGCCATTGGCGGCCGTATCCAGACCCCTGTGGCTATCGGCAAAGGGGGAATGGGCCAGCGAAAAGTGACCGTTGATGGCTTTGAGCATCTCCTGCCGGGTACATTGGACCATCGACCGGATGGGACTGTCGTTGCTGAGATTCCACAGATTGGTCAGCCACACCGGCAGGAACCAGACGTAGCCGTTCTCTGCCGTCATCTGAAAACAAAAATAAACAAGAGTAGGATGTGCGTGAGTGTACTGGGCATATTGAGAATACTAAAGATAGTAGTTAAAAGGAATCTTTCATTAATCGTTTATCGGTGATTGAAAGGATTACATTGAACTCAGCGTAAATCTAATGCGGCAATTGCAGAACATCATGACAGTTCCAATAACTCCAAGAATATTTCAGGAAATTCAAGAAAACTTCTGATACGTTTAAAGATCTTTGAAAAAGATCGGAGAGCATCGAGAAAGTTCTGATAACTTCAGGGCAGTTCCATGAACATTCGAAAAATTGTGAAAATCAAGACTTTCCCACGCAAAGCAACATCACAATCGGGTAGGGGAAGCAGCAACCTACCAGATGGCTAGGTTGGTTTACGTGAACGTGTCTTGAATACCTAGAAATCATCGAGAGAAGTCATTGTTTACCAAAGCTGTTACGCCCTGATTCCAACTCTATCTAGATATCATCATTGCAAGTAATTTTTAACAATTTTCAAATTAAAAACAAAAATGATATTTCACAAATAGCAGCGCTTGGGTCGGTTGCTATCGCGCTGCTATATTTGTCAACTCGTTGTTCACCGAGAGGCAGGTTGTTATTTCCCACACTTGAATAGCAACCCCCGGTGCGGATGGTCTAAGAGCATCTAAGTTGCTATTCGAGCTGCTAGTTTGCCAACTTTAGCCATTGCTTTTTTAGTTAGCACCTTGTTTACGCACCGATCGTTGCTATCACGATTGTGAATTTACGTTTTCGGCTTTCGCACCGATAGTTGCTAAACTTATCGTCGAACTTCGAACTAAAATTGATCACAGAGATTCGTGATTGTTTTTTCGGCAATATTGAAGACTGAAGATTGAAGGTTAAGATCCAACTACAGACCCAGGTACTCAGATCCGAATAGCCCAGTGATTTTTTTTAATCACTTGTTGTGATGTTACATGATTGAATTTGAATCTGTGACCAACATGCGCACACTAGTGGTCAAGAAACTGTCATCTGGGAGATCCGGAACATCCATAAAAGTGGTCAATTGGTAAAAATGATCCAAATATCGATCTTCGTATGCTCATCTTATAAAAGTTACTCTTCAAAAGGCATAAAGGCATTTTCGGATGCCCATCTGGATTACTAGATTACATATTTTAGCTTGTGAATTGATCAAAAAATGTTGAAACCTTTAAGAAGTTCTGATTGATAGAAATGTGAGGAAGTTAAAAGATCTTTAAGCAAGGCAATCTTATAGATTTCAGGAAAATTTACTTCAGCGAAGATCAAGAGCTTCAGGGCAATTCCATTAAATTAAGGAAAATTTAAACTTAAAGACCTATGAGTGAGTTGCATGAACTTTGGGTTAGTTCTGAAAATGTTAGGGCAGTTCAATGAATATCAGGAAAACTGTGAGAACTTGAGGGACGTTCTTAAAACTTTAGGTTCGTTTCGAGTCGTTTCAGTAAAATAAAGGAAACCATCAAGAAGTTCCGAAAATTTATGGAGAGTAAAAAAAACTTCAGGGAATGAACAGAAAAACATTAAGAAAGCTACACATGATCCATGTTTAAAGGGAAGTTTAAAAATCTTCTGGGCAGTTCCAGGCATGAAAAATCATTTGCATTCATTTCGTGCATTCATTTACATTCATTTGCCCCTAACTTTTTTCATCAACAGAATTCTGCAAAATGGTGTATGAAGCTTTTGTAGGTTTTGTTAACAACAAAAAAGGATCCGGTAAACACCCGCCGTCCTGACTGCGGTGGCTCAGCCAATAGAGCCAGTCTCGCCACCGCAGTTAATCGTCAAGCAGGACGAAGCAGGCGATACCAGAAGTGAGTTCGCCTGGGCAGAAACACTGCGGTGTTTGCCGGGGTTGCCTACGGCGAGTAGGCCATCCGGTGATTCGTCACCAACGTCGCCGGGGGGGTTCCAACAGACGAGCCCCGCTCATCCCCCCGCTAAGTGTCAAGGACAGCTGCTAAGCAGCGAAGAAGCAAACCGCTCAGCACAGTCCGTGCTTTGTAGCAGCAGAACCGCCGAAATACCGTCGTCGAAGGGCCCCACCGAACAGCAGCAGCAACAGCGAGGAGAAGATAAGTGGATAATAGACGTCTAAAATTGATTTCCTTTTTGTTGTATTGTCGGTGATTGTCAGATAGTACGGAAAGCAAGAAGGAGAAAGTTGCGAGCCACGGTAGGAAATCGACGCGTTTTTGCCCCGTCCGTTTTAGTGAAAACGTGAAGTTGGAGTGCCGTTTTCGTGGCGTGTGTCCGCTGGAGGGATAATTCCCAGCACCGTCGCGTGGAAGTGACGTCGTTTCCCCGAAAAGTGCCGTGGTTCGTGAGCTGAAGTGAAGGGTGTCGGATCGCCGCCAAGGGAAGCTAAATTTAGAGGATTTTTCCGCTTCCCGGCTAAACCCCAAGGATCCCCGAACACCCACCGTCCTCACTGCGGTGGCTCAGCCAGTAGAACCAGTGTCGCCACCGCAGTTAGGAGCCAAGGAGGGACGAAGCAGGCCGAACCGAAGGAGCGTTCGCCTGGGTAGTGCACTGCGGTGACTACCGGGACCATCTACGGCGAGTAGTTGGTCCGGTGATTCGTCACCATCGTCGCCGGGGGGGGGGGGGGGTTCCAATAAAGGAGCCTTGCTCATCCCCCCCGCTAAAAGCCAAGGACCGCTGCTACGCAGCTAAAGTGAAGTAGGAGACGCTCGGCACAGACCGTGTCTGGAACCGACGTGAACAAACAGCAACCGCCGCTGCTATCGTCGAAGGGCCCCACCGAGTGACACCGAGGACAACGAGGAGAAATAGGGAAAGGTTAGAGAATAATAGACGTCTTAAAGTGCATTTTTTCTTTCTCTTTTCTTAACAATCCATCCAAATCCGAACGTCTTTGGGGGAAGTACCAACAATCAATACGAAACTAACGATTTTAAATTGGCTCACCACTTTAGTAGCCTATTGGTCCCAAGCAAACGATTAACGTACCCTATTCTAGTCAAAATTCTAGTACTACGCAATGTTTGTTTTGATTGGCGTTGACGGCACCGTCGAAAAATTTGCTCTTCCAGCAAATTTAGACAGTTTGTTATGGGAATTTTCAGTGGAGTGAAAGGATAGTACAAAGTCCGCCATGTTTCACGCACAGTCTGACGTTTGCTTATGGATTTTCTCATAGGAGTAAAGAGCTACAGAGTCGCCGTCAACGCCAATTCGCTATGAAAGTTTGACAGATAAAATGAGGGGTTATTGGTTTTTCCTATGTTTCGAGGGGTGAATCGATTAGCTTGGGACCGAAGAGAGTACCAGAGCTGAGCCAAAAAGTTGAGCACGTTATTTCGGGACTTTCTGGTCTTAGAGTTTCCTCTATGGAAGTACTCTGCTCGTAGCCGCCCCGCCGGGGTAAATCGGGCCAGCTATAGGCTGGCAAGTAAGCCGCAACTTACAAACATTCTACTTTATCGAGTTCTACTTTACCGACTCTAAAAATGAATCGACAAATATATAAACAAAACTGACAGAGGCCAGAGCTTTCACATATCTTTTAAATGGGTCTGATTTGGGATTCGATCATGAACTGTTGGGGTGTGCTGCTGCCAGAGTCTTCGTTCGATCCGAGGTTCGATCTCACTGTGCCACGGTTGTTCTCATATATGAGGCGGGTTGATAGGATAAAGTCACAACTCTTGTTTTCGATGTTTACCTTTCTGAGCAAGCCATTCACATCGTATTGAAATGCAAAACACTTTAAATCCATCTGTTTTGAACAGTAGCGTGATTCAATGTGCAATACACTTGAATAGATAGTGAAAGATTTTCAACATTTCAAAGTTTGAAACACTATAAATTAACGTGTATAACACATTGAACCAAGGTGAAATACACTTAAAGTAAATGTGATTCTACATTTAAAAAATCAAGTGTTTAAACACTTCGATCAAACGTGTGAAATTTTTTGAGTGTACAGGGTATACTCAAGTGTAAGGGCACCCGCACCAATGCGTTGCTAAAGCTCTTTTAGCAACCTTCACCATAACGCAGTAACCGCACTGGGGGGTTGCTATTCAAGTGCGGGAAATAACGATCTGCCTCTCGGTGAACAGCGGGTTGACAAATATAGCAGCGCGATAGCAACCGGCCCAAGCGTTGCTATCTATGAAATGTTTGTTTTGTTTTTCATTTGAACATTGTGATATATGAATAAATTTGGATTTGAGACAAAAATTTGGACCCAAGGGACAGCAGAGCATTCCTCTGGAAGACCCGGAACATCCGTAAATGTGGAAAATTAGTAAAAAAGGATCTAGATTTTTTTAATCAACTTGTTGTTATGTTGCATGAATGAATTTGGATTTGAAACCAATATGTGCACTCTGGTGGCCATGGAACGGTCCTTCAAAATATCCGGAACACCCGTAAAGGGGACCAATTCGTAGAAAAGATCCTAGAGCTCCGTATTATTTTAAATTACCTATTTTGGTGCTACATTAATGAATTTGGATCTGGGACCAGCATGCGAACTCTGCTGGCAACAACCTGGTCTTTCGGGTGGTCCGGACCATGCGTAAAAGTGATAAAAATGGTTCAAGAGCTTCACGATTCACTTATTATGAAGCTACATGTATGAATTAGGATCTAGGACTAGCATATCCAAACAGGTAGCGGTGTGATTTTCTGGAACATTTCCATCCACAAAAGAAGACAATTTGCGTAAAAATCCTAGTTTTATTTGAACTTCCGTGGAGTTTTGAATTATATTTATAAAATTTCCTGAAGACCTTGCATTGTTTCTGAAGAATCGCAATTTAAAATCTATTGAAAGTAACGAAAAGAAGAAATTTGGTTCTATATTTGCTGAAAAAATGGCAGAGGTAGCATTTTTTGTAACTCGAGATATTTGAATTAGAAAATTGGCAATTTTAAGGAAAAAAGCCATAGAACATTAATAAAAGTGACAATAATCCCCATATAATTTACCGATCTAAGCATA